CCTGCCGCCCCTCCCCGACTCGGTTCCCCTCCCCGTCTCGGCTCCCCTCCCTGTCTCCAGCCTATCCTCATGTCCTCCGTTTTGGCCAGTTACTTCCCTTAACAGGTGCTGAAGCCAGTGAAAGGCCATTTGTTTATTTCATCTGTTCCCTCTCACCCCCATGTCGATGGAATGTTCTGTTATATCCAAGACTACTTCTTTCTCCATCTTATCTTTAATGAAGTATTTTTTTTTAACTTTAGTTAATTTATCTATTTTAATTTGACCAGAGAGGAACATAGCGAGTGATCAAGAGAGAGAGAGTAAGGGAGAAAGCAAGCTGCCAAGTCTGGGATCCAAACCGTGCTTGGCCATGTGGGAGTCCAGCACCATTAACTACCACACCACCCACCGGCCCCTTCTTTGCACCGTAAAGCCAAGGCAAAGAGAGGAGTGAAGAAAGAGACAAATCCGTAGAAAAGAGGACCAGAAGCTCCTGTGTTCTAGAAGAAAAATATGCATTGTTTTTCTTGTAAAACATTACTTCCTACATAAGGGTGTTTTTATACAAGAAATTTTTTTTTTTTTTAATTTTAAGAGGATTTTGCCTTAGGGCACATGCATTCACTGAAGAGAGAGAGAGAGACAGAGATAGTAAGAGGGAAAGCGAGAAATCACCGCCCAGGGGGATGACCGTGCCACAATCCCTTCTCCTCCATTCTCCCGGGATCTTGGCCATACACGCACATGCACCCAGTGTGAGTTTCAAACCTCCAGGTCCAGGACTTGAACTGCAGTTGGCCATGTGGGAGTCCAGCGACATAACCACTATGCTATCTGCTGGCTCCAAGAAATCAAAAGTTTAAAGGGACGAATGCTTTTTGGAGAGCCTAAGTAGCCTCCAAGTAGCTCAAGCCACCCCTTGTTAGCTGTGTGACTCTAGGCATGTCTCTGAGCCTGTTTCCCTGTATGTAAAATGGGCAGCGACCTTCCCCACCACCACCTGTAGGCAGGCGACACCCAGCTCCATTGTTTTCTGGGCACTGTGACCAGGCGTGCTTAGGCCACACAGCCCCATCCAGGCAGTGTTGTCGAGAAACTCGCCGTCATGTCTATGAGGTCTGGTACTCTGAAGCTCCATGAAGCAAACAGCATCATCTCTGGGCAGGGCACTGAGGAGAGAGGGAGGGGAGGTCTCTGGGGCTGGGAGTGCCCACCCCCAGTGCCCCCTTAGCCTCCCCCAGATGCTGACCGCTCTCTCTGCAGGCCTACTTCCTCTTGCTCCTGGCTCCTCCCCTTTGAATAACTTGCTTTGGTTTCTGGTTTCGATTCCTTTGTGCAGCCTTCCCTTGCAGAGCACTGTCTGGCTGGGTGATAAGAAGCGGTAGAGACATGGCCTTCAGCAGCACCCAGGCTTCCTACGTGAGCCCGGTGAGTTCTAGGGCTGCCCCACTGGGCTGGCTGTCACAGCCCCTGGAAGCAGGTCTGAGTCTCTGGGAAATGACCTCTGGGTGGCAGGGCATTGTGGAGGGGGCATCCCGGGGGGAGCACAGGAAAGGCAGAAATGCAGGGCAGGGTGATCTCCACAAATCGTCTGCCTGTCCCATGCCAGCCTCTCAGGACTGGAGGGATGTTAATCGCTGGCCATGCCTGCTGCGTTTCCTCCCGGGGCCTGTGCTGCCCTGGGGGGATGACGGGCATAAGTGGTGTCTGGAAGGGTGTTGGCTTGTGTCATGGGAAGAAATGTCATGGCTTTTGGAAGGATCACCAGCCAGCACAGTTGAGAAGGGCACTTTCTCTGGAGATGGCCTCCCTGGGTCCAGCCATTTGCCATCTGGGTGACCTTGGGCAAGGTACTTCCACCTCTCTGGGCCTCGGGGTCCACACCTGGAAAGTGAGGAGAATGCTAAGCCCGCCTCCCACGAGGCGAGCTGGCACAGCCTGTGATCACGCAGTGCCTGGCACTCTCCCTGCAGCAGCTCGGTCATTAGGAGTGCATAGTGTCATTAGGAGTCTGGGGGCCACAGGGCAGGCCTCCCAAGGCATGAGCGGGAGTCAACAAGGCAAGGCAGGTCCGGGTGTCTGCACAGTGGGGACTGTCCTGCAGCATGGGGTACATGGCCTCTTACGCCTTTTGCCATGTACCTAGGCCTGTCTGCAGGTGGACTCGTGTCCCCCGCATGACGTTTATTAGCCCTGCTTCATATGTGGAAGAACTCAGAGAGGCTGAGGCCACGTGCCATATACCCCCAGGTGGTGCCTTGATTTACCCCTTGAAGGATGGCAGTAATGGAGAAGGCAGGGAAGTGGTAGCCCCTGGCCTAGTCTTCTGTGGTCACAGTGACCTGGGCCAGGCTCAGTGCTGGCATCCCTCCCAACCTTAGCAAAGAGCTCCCCAAGTGGCTGGAGGCTGTGAGCTGACAGAGCCCTTCTGGGCGGGGTGGGTGGCAGCAGGTGGGTACAGAGGCAGGATTCTGCCAGGGCCCGCATGAGAGTGCCTCTCAGCAGAGGCCTGGGCTGGCGAGGAGGACCTGGCACCACCAGTGCCCCCTTGGTCACCCTGTGGAGGCTCCTGGGGTGGGACTCGCATAGATGCGACTGAGAGAAGCTGGAAGGGACCATCTAGATGTGACCTTGGGCACGTTACCCGCTCTCTGGTTCTCTGTCAAGTGAGGTTCTGACATCTCATTATTCTGGTGATTGGTTTTTACTTTCCGATTGAAAAAAATAATTATGTATTTTTGTTCAATTATCGTGATGATGATTACTATTATTTTAATTTGCTATAGGGCACTCTCACTCACCAGAGAGCTACAGAGAGAGGGAAAGTGAGAAAGCAAGCCACCAGATCTGGGACTCGAACCGCAATGGGCCATATGGGAGTTGAGCACCCCAACCACCATGCCCCCTGCTGGCTCCCTCGTTCCAATTTTTGAATTCAGAAGTCCAATTTTTCTTTTCTCTTTTTCTTTCTCTTTAAAAATTTTCTATAAAGTGCATGAGCTTTCCAGAGTCAGAGACAGAGACGGAGGGAGAGTGAGAAAGCACTCCGCAGAGGGGGTGTCCCTGCCACGATCTCTCCTCCTCCATTCTCTTCTCGGGATTGGGGGCACATGCGCTCAGCATCTTTTTCAAGTTGCTGGGTCTGCACACTCGGCCATGTGGGATCCACAACCACCATGCTACCTGCTGGCTTAAAGCCAACTTTTCCAAACCAGTAAGAATATCCTCCTACGAGCAGGAGAGTGTTAAAACAGGGCCTCGGTGTCCACACAAGAACAAGACTAGTGCGGTGGGCTTCCCCCAGGCCGGGTGACCACTGTCCTCCAGTACTGGGAGCTACGCCTGCCTCACAGCGTGAGAGGGTCCCGCGGGCCACTCTTCTGCTGCGGCCTGGCTGGGAGCCTTGCTCCCAATGCTTCCCACCTTGGCTAGGCCAGCCTCCTCCGAGGGTCGGGGGCGGGGGGAGCAGGCACCATGCGAGGACAGGACCTCCCGTGTGGCCCAGAGACGCACTTGGCCAGCCAAGATCAAGGACGTTCTGTGGTCCGTTATGACGGGCAGCCCGGGTGCTGGTTAAACGCTGGCTTCGGGTTTACATCCCAGGGGGTGCTGACCACTGTGTGGCTTTGGACAGGTACTTTACCTTTGCGTGCGTCACTTTCCTCATCTGTAGAAGTGACAGCCACAATGGCCAGGGTTTGTGAGAGGATAGACAAGACCTCACAGGTATGAAAGGTGGGCCACCAGCAGGGTGTCAGGACCCCTAGGGCAGCAGGACCTTCTAGTAAGGCTGCTTGCCTGGTGCTCTCTGGTGCGACTGAGTCCACAGGAAGGTCGCCCACACACTTCGGCCTGTAGGGCTCAACTCTGCTTTCTGGACTCCGGCTAGGAACCGGGCAGGAGCAGGGAGCAAGTTTGGGCTCAGCAGAGGGGTTGACTCACCCCGATGCGAACAGCTGCGTTGCCAAGGCTGGCCCTGCCAGGGGGTTTCCACATGGCGTCCCATCTAAGCCTCTCCAGGACAATTACCGTCCTGCTGTTCCAGAGAGGGAACGGGGCTTGTCTGAGGCACAGACAAGGCAGCTGGCCTGCCCAGTGTCGGAACTAGCACCAGGACCTGGGAGGTGTGCCCAGGTCAGGGGACCAAAAATCCAGCCCAAATATCCATCCTCCAGCACCGCGCGAGCACAGCCAGGTCCAGTTGTTTCCTGCTCAAATCCCCCATGGACACGTGGGGTCCAAATTCCACAGCAGCCTCAGCTAGGCTTAAAAATTACCATTTTGGAGGTCAGAAGTCCAAAGTGAAAGTGTCACAAGGCTGGTTTCTTCTGGAGGCATCAGAGGAGAATCCAGCCGGCCTCTTTAAGGCCAGGAGCACGTTCCCCAGTGTGACTGATCCTCCAGCCTCTTATAAGGACGCTTGGGGTGACGCTGGGCCCACTGAGCAATCCAGGATAGCCTTCCACCTTAAGATCCATAATCACTTCCGCGAAGTCCCTCTTGCCAGCAGGTTTCCGGAGGGTAGAATGTGGGTGTTTCTGGGAGTACAGGGGTGGAGGCAGGTATTATTCAGCCTACTACACCCTCCTGGAAATCAACCAGTATCTGTTTTGAGGCCCTCCAGGGATATTTTAAGTATGGATAAAGAAATGCATGTACACAGCCTTCCCTCCCCTATTTTTTCTACAAACGATATCACTCTGCATTAGTGCTCAGAGAGTTCCCTTCTTCCTCTTTTTCTTTTTTCTTTTCTTTTTTAAGGCTTCATAGATTCTTGTATGGAAAAGGCTCAAGTAATTTCACCTTTTCTTACTGGTAGACTCTTAGGAGCTTTTCATTCTAATGCTGTAATGAATAACCTTATTCGTAGCATTATTATTCAATTTATTATTATTTTTCATTGCCAGAGGGTGGAGGTAGGGAGGGAGAGAGAAGGCACCCCTCAATAGGATGGGGTCACACTACAATCCTTTTCCTTCCATTTCTCCATCCCATGCGGATTCGGAGCATGCATGCACATGCGCCTTGCATGTTTTTCAAGTCCCCAGGGCCAGGATTCAAATTGTGGTCAGACATATGGAATCCAGCTTTCTTTCTTTTTTTGAGAGATTTTTGCTATAGAGCATGTGTGCTCACCGGAGAGACAGAAAGCAAGAAATCACCCCCCAGGGGGGATGGCCACGCCGCAATCCCCTTCTCCTCCATTCTCCTCTTGGGATCTTGGGCACGCACGCACACGCGCCTGTCTTCAGTTTTAAGCCGCTGAGTCCTGGAGGCAAACTGAGGTCAACTACGTGGGAGTCCAGCAACGCAGATTCTGCCATCTGCTGGGATCCAGCTTTCCATGCATGGCTCTTAACCACTGTGCTACGGGACTGATCCCGATGATTCCATTTAAAATAATCTTATATCTCAGAGTTTGAAAATACCATGTAAGACATATTTAAATCTCACCAAACATTTTTGGGGAACTATTGCCCTAAAGATTAACCTACACTGAGACCAGCAGTTAGTGTAATGGCTATCTTGCTGGACTTTCATGTAGTCAATTGAGGTTCAAGTCCCAGACCTGGTGGCTTAAAACTCATGCCAGGTGCGTGTGTGTGTATGCCCAAGATCCCAAGAGGAGAATGGAGGAGAAGGGATTGCAGCGTGGCCATCTTCCCTGGAGGGTGATTTCTCACTTTCTATCTCTCTGTCTCTCTCTGACTTTCTGGCAAGTGCACGTGCCCTGTAGCAAAAACCTCTCCAAAAAAAAAGAGACTAACCTACACTGGGGCCACCGCTGGTGGCATGGTGATTAAGGCTCTGGGCTCCCACATGGCCAAGCTCAATTAGAGTCTCAGACCGGAAGGCTTACTTTCTCACTTTTCCTCTCTTTCTCTCTCTCACTGTCTTTCTCTGGTGAGTGTGTGTGCCGTGTAGCAAACTTGAAAATAACAATAGTAATTAATAAAATTAAATAAATAATGATTTTAAAAAATTGGAGTTGGCAGATAGCCTGGTGTTTAAGGCGCTAGACTCCCAAATGGCCAGCTAAGGTCTGAGTCCCGGAACTGGTGGCTTGCTTCCTCACTTTCCCTTTATCTCTCACTCTACATCTCTCTCTGGTCAAATTCAAAAATAATAATAGCAAGGGACCAGCAGATGGTGTAGTTGTTACATCCCTTAACTCCCATGTGGTCGGCTGTGGTTTGTGTCCCAGACCAGACGGCTTTAAACTCACATGGGTGCGTGCATGCCTAAGATCCCAAGAGGAGAATAGAGGAGAAGGAATTGTGGTATGGCCATCTCCCCTTGGTGGGGGGGTGATTTCTTGCTTTCTGACTCTCTGTCTCTCTTTTTCTCTCCCAGCAGAGAGGGTGACTCATGTGTCTTGTAGCAAAAGTCTCTCTCTCTAAAAAAAATAAAATAACAAATTAAATGAAATGAATAACTCTTTAAAAAAGAAAGATCAGCCTGCACCGCCCCTCCGCCCTGAGCGGGACCCTTTCTTCCCCTCCCCCTTCCTTCCTGCCGCTGTGCACTGTGACCCCACACCCGGCGTACTGCACTGTCAGCTCCTACATCTGAGCGTCACATGCTGCGGTGAAGGCTGCGCAGTACCCAGGGCCATGTGCATTTTCAGCATTGCCTCTTGAGATGGCGTGGGAGGCTCTGAAGAGAGTGTCGGGCTTCCGCAAACACGGACGGGGAGCGTTTTTTCCTGATCCCCTTGAAATCATGCTACATCAGGCTGACTGCCTCCCCGACCGCTGGCAGAAACAGGGATGACAGAGAATGCGAAGACACAGAGGGGTGTGGCTTGCTCAGGGTCACCAGTGTCCCTATTGGCAGGATTCAGATCTTGGCCGAGGTGCCACAGGAGACACCTCCTTCCAGTGCCGTGGCTAGCAGAGTTTGCCTGAGTGAGATCCTGGCAATGGCGGGCTTTCACAGTGCGGGCCACGAACATGGAGCTAGCCGGCCTCGTAGGTTCTGTGTGGCCCCACCACC